AATATTTTGACACCTAAAACCCCCTAAACACTCAAAACTAAATATTAGTATAACATAGTTAATCCAAATATAAATTATATAATGAAAAAATAATTTTGAAAACGTGGCTTTTTTTTAAAGATTTCAAAAGTGTGACATTTTTGTAAAGTTTTTGTAAAGATTTCAAAAGTGTGGCATTTTTGTAAAGTTTTTGTAAAGATTTCAAAAGTGTGGCATTTTTGTAAAGTGGCACTTAGAAAATGGTATTTTTTGAAATTTTTTAAATATACTTTTACCTATGTAGACATTTTAGATGGAAAGAAACTCTTCCATTATATGATAGATTTAATAAAGGTGACTATCTCAAGTTTTATTTATGAATACAAGAGAGATATTAATCCGAAATGGTTCTGGCACCTCCACTAGCAGATCCATTGGAAGTGGCATCATTTGGACCAGCTGCAGCATTAGCACCGCCATTCCCATTAGCGCCACTGTAAGACCTAGCGACACTTCCAGACGAACCGGGGGGATCATCCACAGAGACATATCCGCTGGTGTATCCAGAGCCCCTTCCAGACGAACCGGTGCTGGGACCGCTTGGACCCGCAGCAGCATTAGCATCACCATAGCCCAAAGCAGAGGCGTAAGTTCCAACATCAACAGAAAGCTCAGCTCCAAGGGCGTTGGAAGTGACAGTTTTGGGAATAGAGATGCCTATTTTGGTCTCTTTGGACACTCCTTCGAGCTGCCTTGCCCCAACATTGGCACACACAACTCCAATCAAGAGTAGCACACCAAACTTTTTGGCATTCATCTTTTGATTTAACTCCTTTTCTGATTTGTTTCTATGTTTTTTGTGGTGAGTTGTGTTCCTCCCACATTGTAGCCTCTATTTATACACACATATCAACACACATGTATTTATTATTTATACGTGCGCATTTCTTACAAGATACATTAGTTAAAATTTTAACCCATAACTAATAGTCTTACCAAGATGTCAAACTAATGGTACCTTCTAAACACCTCTTGCCAAAATCGATCTCAATACCTTATTAGATTTTGAAACTGTCATGTGCTTTATGTGACAATCAAATTCAAATATATAATTTGTTATTTGTCCAACGTAAGAGTACTCGGGTGCTTGAGAAAATATAACTCTCTTTTAAGATTAGTTTTACCAACACCAGAGCAATTCCTATGAAATGAGATCTAAAAGAATAGTACTTATGTTTTTGGCCTTAATGGATGAGTTCGTATCTAAAAGCCTACATATTTTGTTTTAAACCTTTCATAGAAATTTTCTACCATAATTCTCATTTCACTTTCTTTTCATCAAGTCGCTCTTTTCCTCTCGTGGCTAGGGTGCCTGATTGTTTTATAATTTTAATTTCATGTGCTGTATTTTAGGATTATTATGGCTATTGGATCGGAATTTTCAGTAAAAAAAAATGTTAAAAATAACAAAAAAAGATTGAAAACATAATTTCAAACTTAAAAGTAAGTATTTGAAGAAATAGTCGGGCGTGAATAAGTGTTTTTACTAACAGATGAAAAGAGCGTGGAGGATCTTAAGATGATGCCAAGGCCAAAGAGTGGTTTGAACAAAATGATGCCAAAGAGTGGTTTGAACAAAATGAGAAGGAACCAAGCAAGTAGTGTAATGGCACAGAGGCTACCACAACCAAATCCAGTGAGCAGATTTTCAAGAACCCATTTCAGGTACTTTTGGCTCCACAAAGACTGAGCAAAGTGGAGGTGGGATGGATTCTACGTGATAAATGCGAGGTCAAATGCCTCTGGACCAATTTAGAAACTGAAGCAGCAGCTTTCGTACGGGATGTCCAGTGCGTAAACAACATCGGGTATGGAGAAGTCATATTTTAGAGTGACTCCAAGACCATAATACAAGCTCTCCAACAACGGCCGCGGCTAAAGAGTTTTACTTCAGAGCCCAAAAGTGGTAATGTGAAAACTTCTTCGGCACATCCTATCATATTTTATCATGCTGTTTTAGAATGTTGTACCCTCCTTAAATGGCTACCTCCATGGGTGAAAAATAAGAGTTTTTTTTGTATGTTATATATTGTACAAAAATTTACAATATCGGATTAACAAAACGATAATAACATTTCAACGAATATAAGATTCAAAGGACAAAATGTCGAGAACTTGAATTCTAGCTTATCATTTTATTGTTATCAACATTTAACCCGTATATTTGAAAATCCTATTTATACCCGTGGCCATTGAGGACTCACTACCTACAACAAACAAAGAATCAATCAAATTCTATTTTTCTCTCCTCAAATTTCAACCTTTTATCAAATTGAAACTAAAGGTAGAAGAGAAACTTTTGATGATAATAACAATCTTTTTAAAAACACAAACAATGAGACTGACCTCAAGAGTGCTAAAGACCAGTCTCATTCGGCTGGCCACAACCGACGGCTCCTCTGCTTGTCCCATCACCGCCATCTGCTCCAGTTGAAGAGTCTTCACCGGCAGCCTACACTCACCCGATGGTTCATCGATAATAGCATTTTCATATCTAAACATTTCATTTTCGTTTTAGACCCAAAATAATTGATCTTACCATGCCATTCCCCGAATATAGTATGCATTGGCTATAACCGCGCAAAAGCCTCTCCATTTACTTAGAATTTGATCTGAAACGGAAGGAGTCGATGACCATCTTACAACCGTTGGTTGCGGTGTACACAAGATTGTGATGAATACAATGCTAAGCCACAATATGCACTCATCTACCTGTGGAATTAAAACCGCCAAGCTCAAACTGATAAGGTAAAGCTAAGATCCAATCAGACTTAGGGCATATCAATAACTGATGATACCATAAGTTCATAGTTATTAACTAACCTCGGACAACAAAATCTTAGATTTAGTCTGTGTGCTTCGGTGGTAACTCTCCATTAGTTCAATCTCTAAACCCGATTCTTTTATAGCCATAAGTTCTTTTCTCAAGTCTTCATCTGTGCAACCAAGCGCGTATGCGTTCACACCAGCAGAAATGAATTCCTTATGACACACAAAACATTAATGAATGATATATGATTGAGAAGAAAGGGAAAAATGTAAGGAAAGTTACTTTTAAGGTTTCGCCTTCACCGCGTTTAATCACAGTCCTGTAACGTCGTAACAGACTTATAGCTATGTTGCGTGATGAACGGTACTCATCATCCGATGAAATCGAGTTGTTGCGTGAACGACAACACTTGATGGAATAAAAAACAAACACTGAAAAGATTAGAAGCTAGATATATAGATGTAGAACTTGTATCCAAGAGACAGAAACTTTAAGAAATCACTAACCATCCATCTCCGTCGATGATGAATTTGGCCTTTCGGAGAGAAAGATGAATGATAACACTCTACATTGCTCCAAGAAACTCTTGATCTCAGAGAGACAGGACAACTACTAATCAAAGTATCAAACAGCACGTTTTTGAATCCGCGCAAAGCAACACTGTAGTAAATAGGGATTTGGAATTTGTTGATACTTCCCGAAGGATACGCAGCTAGCATTTCTGAACCATATCAATGGAGCAATTCTATAATCTACACCCAAAAAAAAAACAGAGAGAAGAAAACTACTCAATTAAAGCAAAAGACAGAATCTTTTTCTTTAAAGAACACAACAATTTTAGAAAGTAAGATGTATAATTCTAAGAAATCGATGTTCCAGAAGCAAATTCAAATATAAACCCTAATTTCATCACAAGACACAATTAGAGGTCAAAAGCTCTGATCTTGCAAAAGTCCACAAGAATCTCCTAACAAGAAGAATCTTGGCAGAATCAGCTGCACCAGGACCAACTCACTACATAATTACGACGATCAACTAAATTCACCTGAGATTTAAATGAACCAAAAAAAAAAGCTTACCTTTTGAGAAACCCAGATTCAGAACAAAGAATTTGATGAAGCAGAAGCTATATATACACCATGTAAGAGATGAATTTGAAGCCACCAATAATTTGAATGGCTGCAAAAAAATACACCAAAGTTTGAATCTATCTTTTTTATTGTCACAAAATGTTGA